TCCGGCCTATATTGGATCACAAAAACCCGCCCCTCCGGGGCGCCACACGACCTCCGGACCCCCTCTCCGCCAACAAGCCGCGGCCCCCGCGTCTTCCGCCGGGCCATCCATCCCCGCACCCCCCTCCCCCCGCTCGGGCAGCACCCTCCCCCTCCTCGGTAGCCCCTCCCTTCCACCTACAGCCCTCCATCCTCCCCCATCGCAGACCCCTTCCCTCGTGACCTGCCCCCGGTGTCCACCCTCGACAACGTCCCCAATCGGCAGCTACCCTCCTAAGCCCGACGCCCACAGCCTCCCGAGCTCCTCGGCGTGTCCAGTTGTTTAATCAGTTTAAAAGGTATGAGTTTTCTACCGAGCTTTAGAAATTTTAATTTTATTGTTATTTATTGTTGAATTTGGTTTAAAACCCTAATTATGATAAAAAATAAACGAGTTAAATTCTGAAAATCCTAACTCAACTACATGTTAATTCATTTGAACAACACTAGTAATCATTATTGAGTTTTAAACACTTACAAGTTTATACTCATTTAAATTTCATTCGTGCTATAAGTATGTTTGATTATTTAAGTTTGTGATGTGAAAATATGTGAAATAATTTTTTTTGAAAAATAGAGTGATATATAACACATTATAAATTTTTATAATGTGTTATAATCCAATTTAGGTGAATAAAAAAATAACGTTATCCCTAGACTTCCGTCCAATAATTACATCCAATTATTTGGACTTATAATATATGATATACAACTCAGATTTGGGTAGGAGACGAAGTTTTCTCCCAAAAATGAGCGTTTATTTTATATTATAGGAATAAAAAATTGGTACTAAAATTCGTAATTATTGGATCTGTCCTTCTTGGGCGGGTTAGGAATATAGTAGTGAATATATCCAACTTTATATACTTTGTATATTTTCATTCTTGAAAGTTTTGGCAGCACCTATTCGTTGTTCTCCGTGTACAATAAGCGTATGTTGTTCTGCGTTTCGGGTTATTACTGATACGCATAATAACATCCGCACAGTGTACAGGGAGAACAGCGGGTAGGTGCTGCCGAAATTTTCAAGAAATGAAAATATACAAAGTATATGAAGTTGGATGTAAGCACTACTATATTCTTAATGGATAGAAGCCTTCCTATGACAACCGCAAGATTAGTGTAATTAGTTTCTATGTACGTTTTATATATATTTTATGTAGATAAATATTCATATTGTTAAATGATATATGAACGTATGTTTGATGTGTGTTGAATGTATAAGAGTAATGGATGTATTAGTAGTTGTGAGACTAATCGTATTTAATATTTATATATAATTACAGATGAGGATAATTCCTAACAAGTCATGGATAGATATCCCTAGGCATCGTAGATTTCACGTAGATTTCGTGACACACGATACAAGGAGGGATGTGAAGCCTTCATGCGTTATGCGGAAATGAATCCGAGAAATTTAAGAAGCGGTGCTATGTACTGTCCTTGTTGTAGGTGTAGGAATTTGAAGCTGCTGAATAGAAATGATATACGGATTCACCTAATAAAATCAGGTTTTGATGAGAAATATAAATACTGGAACTGGCATGGGGAGGGTATCACTGAAGATGATGATCCAAATATGCATGTTGGTATGTCCGGTGGCTAACGAATAGATGACACAGAAACAATGTTGAATAATATTTTTCCTCGGCCTATAGAATATGATGTTGATGATAATGTCGAGGATGATATTGGAGACAAAAGTGAAGATGATAACGAAGTTGAAGTTGAAGAGGTAGGAGGTGTCGCGAGTGTCGAAAATATTGATGATATGCATTCCTCCGCAGAAATAAAGCGAATAATGGAGCTACTAGAAGATAGTGAAAATGAGTTATATGAGGGATGTACCGAGTACTCCAGATTTTCATTTATACTGAAACTCCTTCATATTAAGACACTTAGCGGTATGTCAGATAATTATTTTGAAATGCTTCTTGATTTGCTTCGGACTGTAATCCCTGGAGGAGAGAATAGCATACCCCAAACAACTTATCAAGCTGAGAAGATTGTCTCCGCTCTAGGTCTTGATTATAATAAGATTGATGCATGTCCGAATGGTTGTATTTTGTACCACAAAGCCAATAAAGACCTTTAAGAGTGTCCGACATGTGGAGTTTCTAGGTGGAAACAGCGCACAAATTCTTCAACAAGGATTACAACGGAGACAGTGATAACACAGAAGAAAATTCCAGTCAAAGTGCTTCGACATTTTCCATTGGCTCCTAGATTGCGAAGATTATACATGAACAAGGAAACGGCAAAGAATATGAGGTGGCATAAGGATGATCGAGTAGACGATGGTAAATTGAGACATCCTGCTGATGCTTTAGCTTGGAAGCATGTTGATAAAATTTATCCTCGTTTTGCCGAAGATTGCAGAAATGTAAGACTGGGTCTATCAAGCGACGGATTCAATCCATTTGGGGTAATGAGCTCTGGCTGGTCTACGTGGCCAGTTGTATTAATGCCATATAATTTACCTCCATTGCTTTGTATGAAACAGTCGTTTATGATACTTTTATAACTGATACCCGGTAAGCATGCTCCGGGAAATGATATTAATATCTACTTAGAGCCTCTAATTGATGAGCTAAAACAATTATGGTCTGAGGGTATTTTAGCATATGATGCCCATTTAAAAGAGTCGCTTAGATTACGTGCTATTCTACTATGGACGATTAATGATTTTTTATCTTATGCTAATCTGTCAGGGTACTCTACGAAGGGCAAGTGTGCTTGTCCTGTATGTGGTCCAGAATTTGAAGCTATTCAATTACCACATAGCCGAAAGAGTTGTTATTGGTTTAATCGAAGGTGGTTGCCCTTGAGTCATAAGTACAGAAAATTATCAGCTAAGTTTGATGGTACAGTTGAGAAAAGAATGAAGCCGCGTCAACTGACAGGTACTGAGATCGTTCAATTACTTGAGGGGTTTCCAAAAGTTGTGTTTGGGAAAAAACGCTATTCTAAATTTAACACGCTCGGAGTAAGAGATTACTTAAAGTTAAAAAAGCCATTGAAGCGTAAGCGAAAGGTCCGTAAAATGCAAGTTGAGGACGAAGCCCAAACATTACCTAGAGGATGGACTAAATTTAGTATCTTCTTTCAGCTACCTTACTGGCAGAATCTAAAAATCCGACACAACTTAGATGTTATGCATATTGAGAAAAATATATGTGATAACATAGTATCAACTCTCCTACAAGATGCAAACAAGTCGAAGGATGATCTACGGGCGCGCCAAGATCTGACTGCTTTGAATATCCGAAATGATTTGCAAGCTCAAGACGTTGGCCTTAAAAAATTAAAGTTGCCTCCGTCTCGTGTTACAATGTCAAATGAGCAGATGCAACGAGTTTGTGAAATTCTCAAATCGGTAAAGTCGCCGGATGGTTACTCTGCTAACATTTCAAATAATGTCCAGGTGCAAGAGAGAAAACTCTTAGGTCTGAAGACACATGATTATCACGTTCTTCTCCATCAATTGCTCCCTGTTGCAATCCGTAACAATATGGATAAAGAAGCGTCGAAGATTATTATTGAGTATTGTGGATTTTTCAGAAAATTATGCTCTAAAGTCATAGATGTAGATGACTTTAAGAAACTTGAAGCCGATGTCCGAGTTACTCTATGCAATATGGAAGTAATATTCCCTCCTTCATTTTTTACAATTATGGTCCATCTTACCCAGCATCTTGCAAGAGAGGCTAGAATCGCTGGTCCTGTTACTTATCGTTGGATGTATCCAATTGAAAGGTAAATTACGATTTTTCTTATATTTATTAATTGTATACGCGTTTTTCAAATTACCGTGCTAATAATTAACTTTTATGATTATAAGATACTTGGGCTGCATGAAAAACAATGTTCGCAATCGAGCTCGTCCCGAGGGCTCGATAGCTGAAGGATACGTGGCTAACGAATGCTTTGTGTTTGCATCACGTTACATGCGTAAGAAGAAAACCACATCTCAAGCACCTCAAAAGGAGAGGAAGCGTGAAAAATACCCGAGATCTCTCTTAGATCAAATTCATGCATATGTGTTGGAAAACCTTGATATGTTCGAAGACTATCGAAGGTAACAAATAAAATCTGTAATATAGATGAGAAATATTCATTTTACATATAGTTTATCAATACAAACTTATATATTGTTTATATAGGCGACATCTGGAGAAGCTTAAGAATGAATAGGAATGCAGCGCATAATATTCAGAAAAGACATAGGAAAGAATTTTCTGATTGGTTAAGATTTGATGTAAGTGTTTTACAATTAATTATTGAACATTCATAATATAACATCGCCTAAATATTCTCAAATTGTTTGTCTTAGGTTGAAAAATCACTTCTTGATGATACTACATTACCAGATGAAATTATTATCCATGCACAACGTCCTTATCACGAAGTGAGACGTTATAATGAGCATTTGGTGAATGGATATAAATTTTGAACATTAGAGGCCGATGATAGGAGGGTAACTCAGAACAGTGGGGTCATGGGCTTGTTTGCCCAAGAATGTTTTTCAAGTATAAGAGATCAGAATCCAATTCTAGCTGACATATTATATTATGGCCAATTAGAAGATATCGTTGAGGTAATTTACGGGTTTGGTAAACCAAAACAATGTACTTACACGATGTTCAAGGTTCGGTGGTGTCCTGCAAAAAAGCAAAAGGATCATTATGGATTTACACTAGTCAATCTTCACCGAGAAGTATATACGGATGAGAAATTCATTTTCGTAGAACAAGCTGATCAGTGCTTCTATGTGAAAGATCCGAATGTCATGTATGATTGGGTGGTTTTGTACAAGGAGCCAATATCTGTTGTTCTTCCTAATAACAATGAAAAAAATATTGAAGAAAGTGAAGATAATTATAGTGAACCAATCAGTTCATCTGATGATGTTTTGCAAGAATTCTCTTACGCACAGAATGTGGCGCTGGATGTTGGTATGAACCTGATATGTTACACCACATTATCGATTTTTATCTTATCATAATAAAAACAATAATGCATTTCATAACAACATATCTCATGAGCATGTATACAATTTTTTCTTAACGATTGTCTTTATTATATTTGCAGATGAGGAGGAGGATGAGGAGGCTCTTTGACCTGGAGGGTGATCGCTCACGGAGTATCACCCCAGGTAGTGGTGCTGATGATCCACTACCATCTCCGGATGCAGGTATAAAAATTAATTAATACTTTAACATGTTTTATAAATTTTTAGTTATCTAGCTCATAGTGTTCATTTGTTGTAGATGCTGGATATTCATCACCCGGCCCCTCTGATGCAGCACCAGAACCATCCCCCGACGCAGCACCAGAACCATCCCCCGACGCAGGTATTAAATATTTAATAATTGATAATGTTCAATTAAAATTTAATATTAATGATTCTTCTTTCTTATGTAGGTGCTACTTGGACCCCGACATATCCATCATATACATTCCATACTGACTTGCGGCCAAAGACCCAGGACTTTCTCAGTTTACCTTTACCTCCGGACTCTCATAAGTCCAAGGCTGATTCAAGGAAGTACCACCCACGTGCTGCGAGAAGGTATCAGGAAATGCTTCCTATGTTGGAGACTAGGAAAGCTGTTGCACTCGCAGCAAAAGAAAGAGAGATAGCGAATGGTAAATTATATAAATACTTTTAATTTTCACATTTGTATATTATATGATATATTATCATGTTGTCATTATTGTAGGTGCTAAGAAGGATCGCATAGAGGGACGACGTGGCGGAGGTAAGCCTGATTCTAAACAACCGCCAAGAGGAATGAGGGGCATTATTAGGTGGAATAGTTCTAATTTGCCCGTTGGTCCTTGGTCAACCCGATTGAATGCATATATTGGGGTTCTCGTGCGTAGAGCGACCATTGTCAACCCTTATTTTCATTTTCGAGAATTACTATGGACCGCATACGAGGCGATATGGACTACGCTTATGGTAAGTACATATTGTTTTAGATTTTCATTTATTAATAATTAGTAATTGATATTAAATTATCCTTACTAAATGTGTATGTAAATCTACAGGACTGCTTCTGCCTTGAGGACTTTGAGGGGGCTTGGAATTATGTGTTTAATGTCAAGGTTGAAGCAGTCCTCAAACAATGGAGGCATGAGATCAAACATGAAACCTATGACAGGTATGAGGAGGACTGGCAGAGGTTTTTAAACCTCGATGACCGAGTTGACGAGATTCATTTCACGGCTCTCCTCATGTATTGGGACAGCGATGCCGCCAAGGTTAGTTTCATGAAATTTAGTTTATAATTTTAAGATATTATTTCATTTTATATTTACAGAATTTTTTTTAAAGAATAAATCCACGAAGGGGTCAGAAAATAGAAGAAAGAAGCTGCATGACCATCACTTGGGCTCACACTCCTACGCTAATCTGGAGGATGTTTATTGTCAAGATACGGTATATGTCATTTAAAGATTTAAAAGATCTTAATGTTTAGTATGATTATGAAATCTCATAATTTATAATATGACAGGGGAAATCATTAATGCCGATACACTTGAGGGCCAGAGCGGCATATGATACTTTTCGTGAACAATATAGGGGTGATGAGAGGAATCGGGATAAGATCACAAAAAATCTCGAGTTAGTGGTAAGACTTATACATATCTTGAGTAGTATTATTAATTCTATTTTGTTAACATTACGAGGAAACGAGAACACAAATAATATGGTCATTATCTTGAATTAACTATAAATGTGTGCTTTAGGAGGGATTTGAGAACGCATCCAAGGAGGCTGCATCTGTTTACATTTCGCAGGAGGAGGAACAAACCGAGTCAGACCCTCACATGCTTTCTGCAGAGGAGAACATCAATCTCACACAGAACCTGATGGGTCATAATAGGTAAGGATGGTGAAAAATCGAATCAATTTGAATACTACATACTATTTATATTTGTTTACCATTATTGAATTTGAGAGCAAAGTTTAATATTTATTTCTCCCTAATAATAGGAGAGGAAGATATCCTCTACATGGTGTCGGAGCTTCACCTGGTATAAGCATCAGATCGTCCACAGCATCCTCCACACCATCTACATCGACAAGAGCAGCCACAAGCAGTTTCTAGGCTATGCCATTTGTCGCACGTATCTCTGCGTATCTGATTGACAAAATTGACCCGGAGCTACATATTCAGGTGACTAATGAGATGACTAGAGTTGCGCTGACGGCGAACTCGATGGACGATCTCATGTGGTATGTTATATAATATTTAGGCGGTACTATTCCTTATAGCGCGTATGGTGGTGTCATACGGATCATTAGCTCGATTGGCGATAATTCCGGCGCTAGACAGAGTAGTGCTCAGGTACCTTATTTTTTTCTTATATTTATAAATTCATTTTTATCTAATATGTTATCAAACACCACATAATGATTATTCAATTAAATATTCAGAGTGGAGATATTGGAGGGAGCAGCACCCGTTCTCGTAATCGGGATAGAGATACCCCCGCCGACGACGATGGATGAGGTTTTTTTTATTTTTAATGCAATAAACAGTTTTATTTGTTATAACACTACATTTATTCATGTCGTGTATTATCTTAGTCATGTGCATTGTTAGTATATATGTTGTTGGATGTGTTTTAGACGGAACTGATTGATGTATATTTTGAAGTGGATGGTTGGATTTGTACAATGTGTTGGATTTGGTTATATAGATGTTTTTGAATGGAATTGTTATGAATTTTGATTATGATTGGATGGTTGAATGTGGCGTGTACAGTATTTTCTGGATGTATTCAAATATTAATGTAATTGTACAGGAAAATCCAAATTTTAATTATTTTTTTTCCCTGAAAAAAGACAATCTAGACGGAATTCCGTCTAGATTGAATCAACCTAGACGGAAATTCCGTCTAGGTTGTAAAAATCCAACCCAGACGGAATTTCCGTTCCGTCTGGGTTGGCAACCCAGACGGAATTTCCGTCTGGGTTTGCAACCCAAACAGAATTCCGTCTGGGTTGCCAACCTAGACGGAATTCTTTATTCCGTCTAGGTTGACTTCCGTCTAGATTGATCAATCTAGACGGAATTCCGTCTAGTTTGAAGCAATCTAGACGGAAGCAAAATAAACCAATCAAACTAGACGGAATTCCGTCTAGATGAACTAATCTAGACAGAATTGCAATCAACCTAGACGGAAATTTCTGTCTAGGTTGATCGTTTTTCTACTAGTGATTCAACCGTGTTCCACGAGTTTAAACGTTGGATCATTAACGAGAAGCAAACTTTACTCGAGTTCGAGGGAGGCATCTCATCGTTAATTACAAATTTTTTGTTGTAAAGGCAGTTAAGGTAGCTGAGGAAAGATGTGATGAAAAATGTCGTCTAAATGAATTTTTTGCCTTTTTCCTTTTTTGGAAAGAAATTTATTTTTTTGTTCTGTGGCAATAACTTCATAGTTTTGTTACAGTGTCAATTTAAAATGAACAATCTTCAAGTGATCAAGTCCTTCATTCATTTTTTTTTAATCATGATGAAGTCATTCTTAATTAAGAGTAAAGATATGACAAAAAATGTCGCATATTGCTATGCCTCATGCGATTACATATCCAATGGCAAGAAATCCTTGTTTAATTACTCATCCAGGCGTGATTAAAGTGTAAATAAGTAGGTCCTTAAGATTCCCAAGTGTCGGACCACTGCAACTATGTTCACTTAAATCCATAACTATTGTTTGTCAATATGTAGGGTTCACACTTTTAAGGGCTAAACTATCATATTGGTATTTTTTTCTTAACCCCCTTTTTATCATTTTGGTATTTCTTTCTTGCTCCGGCATTATTTTGAATTTTTTTTTCTTGACCTCATGTCATATAGGCCTAAAAGTTAGCTGCCAATTAATCAGAAAAATTTGTAATTAGTCCCTCAAGAAAAAGATACCAGACTGGTAATTTAGCTCTTTTTTTAAGGGTAAAGTTTATACCAAACCGCCAAGAACTTTCGATAACCCCCAATAACTTTCAAAATCTCACGAAACTCCCACTAAACTTTTGCAAAAAACCCACAATATCTTTTGGGTCAATTACACTAAACCTCCAATAACTTTCAAAATCCCCTTTTATGTTGTTGTTCGGTTATAATTTATGGGGGTTCTCTGGAAAATGTAGAAACGTATTGGGTTTTTTTGCAAAATGCATAAATTATTGAAAGTTTAGTGTCATTTGAAAGTTATTGGGGGTTTACTGCAAAATGCTAAAAGTTCTTGGGAGTTGAGTGTAATTCACTCCTTTTTTGTAATTGTAAATTTCTTACTTATACGTAGAATAATTATGACTAATTCTAAATATAACTATCTTAGTACTCGGGTGTCTACTTATTTTCACTAGTTCATTCGAGATAATAATTCATTGAATAATAAATAATTTCGTTTGGAAAATTAGATTGTTACTAAGTTTGCCACTTGTTAGTATATCCCCATTGTGACGGTGATTAAATATTAATTGTTGGTTTTTCTTACAGGTGTCTATGACCACTCGTTAAGTGACGAGAGAGAGAAAGCTAAGAGAGCTAAGAAGAGAGATTAGTGTAAATTGGAGGCTGACAGGGGCGCTTGCTATTCATTTCTATTTATCTCTCATCCTCTAATGCATGCTCATAATGGGCGTCTTTTAGAAAAACTGATAAATTTTATGGGGAATTATATATTTGTAGATTTCCTTTATGGTACACTTTTTAACTCAAAGTCCAAAACCCAACCTTTACAAAACCTAGGGCCAAGTTGGAGGTATGGTTGAAGCTTATAATAAGTTGCTTATAAGAGCATTTTATAGAAGTAATTATAAGAATTTTAATTTGGTTCTACCTATGTCGATAAAGCATAGGCCTATCTAAACAGGCCAGCCCAACCTTAGCCCGGAAATCCGAATTCGGGCAAGCTAAAACTTCTTCCTAGATTCTGCTGGGTCCAGGTGGGTGCAAGCCGAGCACAGGGCTGGCCCAAATATTTTATGTTCCAATTTTATTTTATTTCTTTGCTAAAAAATTATGATTTTTAATAAGAAAATTGTAGATTTCTTTTATGATACACTTTTTCACTCAAAGTCCAAAATCCAACCTTTACAAAATCTAGGGCCAATTTGGTATGGCTGGAACTTATAATAAGTTACTTATAAAGGCAAATTATAAAAGCATTTTATAGAAGGAATTATAAGAATCCTAATTTGATTCTACATATATCGATAAAGCATAGTGCTGTCCAAACGGGTCGGCCCAACCTGGCCTAAAAATCCAAGTCCATGCAAGGTAAAATGCTCTGCCTAGACCCCGACCCTTATCTACTGGGTCTGGATGGGTGTTGGCCTAGCACCGGGCTAGCCCAAATATTTTATCTTCAAATTTTTATTTTGCTCATTTGCTAAAAAAAATTACACTTTTTAAATAAAAAATTGTGATTTTATGCTTCAATGTCTGGTGATTTGTTTTAATTTTGAAATATTTCCCCCCAATAAATATAGCCTTCACACATTCATGGCATGCACCACTCCTAACATCTCTCGAATATAGACACTTCGAGCCCTCTTTTGAGGTCCCAACGCCTTTAACATATAAGCTAGCAACCCTTTTTCCCACATAAAGACCTCCCATATCCCCTTGCCACTAGCATCAATGTGAACCTCAAATTCCTTCAAAGTAGAGCAAGCACCGAGGTTTGAGATATAGCCTTCTTCAAAATCCTCGAATGCTTGTCATGATGAATCGGTCCACTGGAATCTATCCTTCTTCAACATGTCCATCAATGGCTTACCAATCAAACCATGATGCCTCATAAACCTCCTACAATAGTCTAACAATCCTAAAATCCTATGCAAGGCTGGCACATCCTTACGCAAATGCCCAATCTAACATGGATCAATCTTCTCTCCATTTTCTATCCTCGCCTCAAAAGACTCTATAGCAATCCCTATCAAATCCACCTTCCTAACAACCCCCGCTATAGCAAGAGATAGCATTGTGAAATGTATGACAGTTGAGTCTATTGCAAAAAACCCACAATATCTTTTGGGTCAATTACACTAAACCTCCAATAACTTTCAAAATCCCTTTTTATGTTGTTATTCGGTTATAATTTATGGGGGTTCTCCGAAAAATATAGAAACATATTGGGTTTTTTTGCAAAATGCATAAATTATTGAAAGTTTAGTGTCATTTGAAAGTTATTGGGGGTTTACTGCTATAGGCATATAAAATTGCTTATAGGTCCCTTAGCATAGCTCGGCACAAACCGACGAACCAACGAGGCGACGAGGTTGACGAATCGCACGCAAGCAACGGAATACATCCATTCGAGCGTGGAATCAAGCCAACGGTTCGGGGAATCAACGAGTCATTTAAACAAGAGCGGACTCGGATGAATCACGATCGAATCAAGATCGGTTTCGGACTCGAACTCAGAAATGGATTTACTGCCAAATCAGGATTCGGATCGACTGCCAAATCAGGTCAACAAATAGAGTCCAGACAAATCAACCGCACAACCGAATCACGGACAAAAGCGGATACAACGGAAAAAAACGATAAAACTCTACGCCTAAGGGGGGCTCGGCCAAAGCCGAGCCACCCATGGGTGGCTCGGCCAAGTTCCGGCCACCCATGGGTGGCCGACCCAGATCTGTGCGCGGGCACAGTTCAGAGAGCCTATAAATAGGCTCCCCTTTGTTCATTTGAAAGGGTTGGAACTTTGAGAGCCGAAACTCTGCCGAATTGAAAACTAAGCTCAGAGTTTTGAAGACTTGAGGACTTGAAGATTCAGATCTGATTCTCGGCGAACGTCCACGTCACAAAAGGCAGGATTTCGAGAGAGGTAAAGATCAGATCTGAGATCTACACGAAATCACACTCCGGATCAAAGCTTGGCCTTTGCTCCCGAGAATTAAAGGCTACTATTTCCTTGGCGAAATAGTACCCTCGGCTATTATTTCCTTTGCGAAATAATACCCGTCGAATTGTGTAGATCCGACCGGATCTAGATCGCGCGGTGGTCCACGGATAAACCCCGGCGCAGGCAAAGAACCCACAAAGCGAGTGACCGCAAAACAGGAGCTCGCGATTCGTTCGAAAGG